TGTTAAACTTATATTAAAGTTTTTCTTCATTACCCATTTAAGCCGTCTCCAGCCATTATTACTAGATATATGTTTGTCTGGTATATTTATAAGACGCTCACAACGTGACAACAATGTGTGTAGGTACTGAGTAATTGATCTGCAGTCACAGGGTATTGTTGAAGTTAACGTTCGTTCGTTATAGTGTTTGTTTTAGCGCGAATGTTGAAGTTGTGTGTATCGTAAAGTTGTATTCGGAAAGAATAAACCAGTTTTATTTAAGAAAAGACTTGTGTCGCTAAAGTTTCGTCGGAACGAATTTACGGAAAATCAATTAACAAACGGAGACGTAACAATATATATACACTCACAGATGAAATGTCAGTAAATAAAGCACCATTACATTTTATTATTAATAACCATTAAAATGCCCCCAGTGGCAAAGCGGTATGTCTGCTGACTTACAACGCTAGAAACCGGGTTTCGATACCCGTGGTGGGCAGAGCACAGATAGATCATTGTGTAGCTTAATTACAAACAAACAAAACCCATGAAATATTTTTGCTTCTCAAAAAACTCAAAATATATTTCAAAATTTAATGTTTATTTTAGGAACACTTTACTAATTTCAGACAAATTCCGATTTGTAAGGATAGGAAAAAACTTCCAGAAAATAATTTTATTTATTACAGTAAGTTCGAGATAAAATGATTTCTTTCTTTCTTTGTTCTTCTAATTGTTGCAACTTTACGATGATATCGTATAGATAGCTCTAAAGATAAAACATAATCTGAATGCTTTAAGTATTGTAATCACGTGATTCGGTTTTAGTTTATGGAGCTGAAGCACGTTTAGAAACTTTATGTTTCGGTGGGCGTCGTTGATGTGGTATTACTTGGTTTGTACTTAATGTATGAATTAAATTATTATTAACCACTGAGGTTGACGTTTTCAAAGACACCGTTTTAGGTCAATATTTCTATATTATGCATAGTTAAATTGGAAGGAACCGCAAATTACAAAACTTTATAATCTTAACTTATATTTTATAAAATTTTATTTATTTTTTATACTTTGATCGGTAGTACTACTACTACTAGTACTAATTGAGTAATTGTAGCTTAATTATATTAAAATAACTTATTAATCAGTTAAGACAATGTTTTAAGTTTTAGGTAGTGTTTATGAATCCGTGTGGAGATATCAAACATTTAATTTTAAGGAGTGAAATGTCTGGTTAGCCATCTCGTTATAACTTGTACTATTGTAGTTGTACTACATTTTACAGTACTCAATACTGACAATGGTGCAAAACAACTCATTTAATGATGTTTTATTGTCACTTGCGTGAGCGTTTAAAAGCTTTAGTTTTAATTTTGTATTGGTTAATTTCTTTCCCTAGTAATTGCCAGTGTAAAGTAATGTTAAGTGTGTTTATTATGTTATTACACCTGTGACTACCTTGTCTAATATTAATAACTAATATAATTTGGACAACACCAAGGCTATGGCCTGGAACTTGGTATGAAAGTGACACCACACAGGTTGTTACAAAATAATTGCACCTATAATTATAAACTCTTGCTTTTAATTTTAGCTTTACATTGTTCATACTGGGAAAGGTAATTAAAATTTGATGTAAAACTAAAACTTGTATGTTATTTGAATGTGTATTCCTTTTTTTATGTGTGAGGTTAGATTTAGTTGTCAAAAAATGCAAAATTCAAGTTTAAATTTTGTGAGAGTATTTTCAGTAAAAGTGTGATATACAAAATACTCCAAAAATTGAACTGACAGAGTTGTAACTTGCAAGTGAAACTAAGATAGCCTTCGTGTGGCTTTTCACGAAATTAAAAAAACAAACAAATGCAAGTAAATGAAGGTTCAAAAATGATCTGATAATTACTAGAATTTTCTACACTGATAAGTTTTACCAAGAAATAGCCTTTTTTTTTCCAGGACCCATTCTTTAGTCGTTCGTGTCTTTTGTTACCCAGTAATCAGACTTTTTCGTGGAAGATCTACTCTAAACTGGCTGAGACTACCCCTATGTTCTGTTGAAGAACAAACCTGTTTATTTGTTTCTTGTCAATACAGCACATTACTTCAGAGTAACCAAAGAAGTCATAGCTTATCAAATCTACAGGGGACCGGTAAAGCTTTATTTAAGTCAGATTTGTCATTCAATACTTTCAGGTCTTTTTCCAAGAATATCTTACAAAAACATTTTTTGCCTAGGCTAAATTGTAAGGTTAACTTCTTTACCAACATTGTCAGTGGTCGTACTACTATGAGTATAGAAGGTGTGAGGATTGCTTGGGACTTAACTATTTCTCCGAATGAATTGTTGACAAAAACCGAGTTACTTATTTCTCAATGTCGGAAAAAATATGATGAAGTTGGCAACTTAAAAGAAGAGGATGTGAATTTTCAATCTGTATTAAAGGTTAGTGTTTTAATGTGGAATTTGTATTAATAAAGTATATGAAAGAGGTTTATTCTTCTAGCATATGGAATAAATTTATGCTACTTAAAAGTTTGCACTTATTTCTGTTGAACTGTGTGTGTGTGTGTGTATATGATAATATATAATAGTCTACAAACTAATAGTTTAAGATTAAGTTGTGTGTTTATACAATGCTTTCTTTCTGATTTATGGCTACAGTGTGTAAAGTGTATGATGTTTAGCTATATACACCTGATTAAACAATGTAATGTTTGTTTATAATTTGGAAGTTTTTTTCATGAAGTTCAGTCTTGTGAAGTTGTTATGCCATAAATTTATTTTATGAAGGAAAATGTTCTGATTCTGAAGCTGAATACTTCTAAATCAGTTACCTCTCTCACACATTAATTTCACTGTACTGAAACATAATTACAAGTTGAAACCAAAAACATCATCAGAAAGCAACTATACTAGAAACATTGCTATCTTAATGATCTTAATGAAATATTTTGTACAAAAAAAAAGATTTTGATAGCTGTAGTGGCTCAAAAAGATTGGTATGAAGACTAGAAGCATATTTGATATACAGTTGTGGAATAAATAGCATCAAGAAAATGAGTGTAGTGGATGTTAGTGTCTCCTAAGAAACTTGATATCTTAGTTCTAAATTCTTAAATCCTCCCTCCCCAGGTGATAGCAGATGTAGAGTGTGAATATTTGTCAAATCGCTACCTTTTTGACTTTCCACAACAAGTATCATCTGACAAAGCACTTAGGGATGCCAGTACTGAAGCAGACAAAAAACTTCAAGCATTTGATGTTGAAATAAGGTAGCCTGTTGTAATATTTTATATTTCAAGAGTTATATATTTTGATTGTGTGTAACATGCTGACACTAGAAAATGGAATAGTCTTGATGGCCAGATTTCTTCTTGTTATCTCATTGAACTGAAAATATAACAGGCTTAATTGAAATGGAGATGTATTTTTAAAAGTAATATTTTTTTAAAGATTTCATTAAAACTTTAATGTCAAAAAACTAGTAGTTAAGATAATGATATTGTATAAATTTATAGTGTCTTGTGTTTAGATATGGAAGAGGAGTAAATGTGCCAGGTTTTTGACATTTCATGTGTAAATGAGCTGTTATTTTAAAATGGTATTTTGTTTTGTCAGTATATGAAGCCTTATTATAGAAGCCAATGTACAGAGGGACATTAGGAGATGATCTTTGTTTCATAAAATGTTATCAGGCTTTGAGTATATAAATACTGTCTTCACAACTCATTGAAGGAAACTTTATTTCTAATTCACTTGTATGATGTTTGATAACTTGGTAAATAATAACCTTTATCTTACAAATCAAGTAAAGTAAATAACTTGCCTGTTTAAGTAATATATTTGTGCATCTAATGTACGATCTTAAAACAGTTCTAGAACTGATGGGGAAAAAATGTAGGTCACTTAAAAACTTTATTCAAGATTTCTTTATTCAAAATTATTGATAAAAAACATGTTTTATCACCCAGTTTTAGTTTGTAAGTAGTTTATAATAAGTTATTAATTGTTAGGTGAGCAAAATAAAATAGATATGCATTATTGTTTCTAGCATGAGACAGGACATATTTGATAAACTTCTGATTCTGGATAAGAAAACAGAAGATTTGAAACCAGAATATAAACGATATTTAGAAAGACTAATCAAAATGGGAAAGAGAAATGGTAAGCTGCACAGTTTTTGCTTATGCTCAACTCTTCCTAGATACAACTTTGTTTTAAATTATGAATTTACAGAAAAACTGTTTTGTGGAATTGTGTAAAACAAGGTTATGAGTAGTTGCTATGATTTTTGTAGGAATGTAAAGTAGAATACTTTATTATTAGTTTTTCTAATAAGGTAAAAATCATTTTCTTCTATTAGCTTGTGTACTATGTACAAGTTTTGTAAGAGTATTGGCTTTTGAATCCAGCCTGTCTCTCACACACCTTTTCAGTATAGCAAAAAAGCTGTAAGTGCACACACACACACACACACACACACACACACACACACACACTATACATACCTCAAGTTATTGAACACTTTATTTGTTACAATATGATAATGGTTGAAAAGTGAGATATCCAAGTGAATGTATTTTACATTTTGTTATATTAATATGTATATTCTTATAACTAGTGTTACTGTTATCTAAGGGTTCAGGTTTATTTAATTCTTATTATGTTTTTGGTCTGTACTTGTCCAAAGTATCTCGAGATACGCTATTTACTAAAATTATTTTTCTTTTGTTATTTTTAAGGGCTCCACTTGTCCAAAGATATACAAGAAAAGATCAAAGAATTCAAAAACAAGATGAATGAGCTTTCAATTCAGTTTAATAAAAACCTAAATGAAGAAAATACATTTCTAGAATTCACAGAGAAAGAATTGGAGGGCTTACCAGATGATTTTATTGATAGTCTGGAAAAGGTGAGAGGAGAACTTTTAAAAATATTTAACAAGGTTATATAAACAAATATGCCACACAAATTTCTTTTAATTCTTTATGTTAGCCAAGAAGGTTATAATTAAAACAGATTCTTGTGCTTGCACTGTGGGTTTAATGCCTAGAAGACATGAATATTTGAAACTTGTCATTACATAATTCTTGTTACCACTCAGATTCATATCATAAAACCAAACATCTATATATTGGGTACTGATAATTATTGTTTACTAGAATGATTCACTGAAAAAAAAAATTATATTAATTTCACTAGTAATTGAGATATGAGAAATTCCAGTAATCAGCAGCTTTATTTAATACCATTAAGATGGACAATGAAAAGCGGAAAATCACCTTGAAATATCCACACTACTTTCCTACGATGAGAAAAGCAAAAAATCCTGAAACAAGAAGAAAAATGGAACATGCTTTCAACTCACAGTAAGTATTGGTTTTAGCTTTAAGAAAAATTGGTATTTTGTATAGAACTTAGTATTTAATTTAATTAGAGGGTTCCCAAAAAAGCTTGATTGTTCTAAGCACATGAAACCACTATGCAAAAACTGGTTTGGCTTTAAAATAAGAAGTAAACTTTTGAGACTAAGATGCAGCTCCAGTATTATGATGTTTGGATATACAGTGAGAAAACAGCCTTAGGTTTATGTAGAAAATATACAATTAAAGAATTTCAGAGATTTTATTAGACAATACAATTGGTGATTGATTGAAATTGTGTTCTGATGTGCTTCATTTTCTAAAACAGCTCTCAAAAATAAAAATATAATTCTAAAGTTTGTAAGATTAAATGTCAAAACTGCAAAGAGAGAACAACAGTATTATTAAACACTGAAATATACATTTAGCAAGTACTAAGTTTTTGTGAAGTACCATACTTTTGTATTGCTATTAAAAAAATACATGTTTTAAAATATCTGTATTCACAACTTTGTTTTTCAGGTGTATTTCAGAGAATGTTCCAATTCTTGAGGAACTAGTCATGCTACGACAGAAGGTACGGAATAATGCTTTATTTAAACTAGTTTGATGTTGTAACTGTTCTTAGAAATTAATGTTGTTAAAACTGTTGAATTTCCCCAGTACTTAAATACAGACTATAATAAACCACTACATTTTGTACTTAGAGCTGGGCAGTTAATGGTATTTACTAATCAATTAACCCTTTCATTCTGGGCAAGTTAAAGTGCACCTCATGACATTTTGGAGAGTTGTTTTCGAAATTTTGTTAAATAACTTTATTACTACATGTCAATGAAGTTGACATCAAAACGTAGTTTATAATTGAAATTTTAATATTATATGTGTTTTAATTTCTCAATTTAAAAGGAAATATAAAGAAAAAATGCTAAATATTGATTTTTATGTGTCACATAACACATCCTTTTGTCGTATTGCTTAGTTTACATTTTATTATGTAAAGATATGGACAAGCTAAATATAAAACAAGAACCTCTCACTTCTATGATTTGATGAGATATCAATATTTTCAGTGAATCTACTAGAGTGGCTCCTCCCCCTACTTCATACTTTTGAAACCTCTTTTCTAATCTCACCTACTACTAATTAGCATTTATAGGGCGCTTGACTTGTAATCTTTGGGTCACGGGTTCAAATTCCCATCCCACCAAACATGCTCACGCTTTCAGCTGTGGGGGCATTATAATGTGATGGTCAATCCCACTATTCGTTGGTAAAAGAGTAGCCCAAGAGTTTGCGATGGGTGGTGATGACTAGCTGCTTTCCTCTTGTCTTACACTGCTAAATTAGGCACGGCTAGCATAGATAGTTTTCATGTAGCTTTGTGCGAAATTCAAAACAAACAAATCTATGTAAATCTAACAGCTGTTTGTAAATAGCTTGAAGGAGAAAGTAATAATTTCACCAAAACTATTGAGGTTTGATGACTAAGTTGTTGCTCTGAATAGGAATGGAAGTTTTGTAACTCACATATAGCTTATTTAGAGATCCAGATAAATTGCAGGGATTTTTTATGTACCAATACAGTAACCTGATAATTTTTTTGGTTCTAAAATTTATATTTGAAGCCTACAAAAATTAATATCTTTTCACCCTCCACTCGGAAGAATAAATGAGGGTTATGGCGAGTCTTAGCACATGTAATGCACAAGCACAACATTTTGAAACACCATAAGTACTCAAAATCATTGTTGATCAGTGTATTTTTAATTCATTGTTCAATGTTTTAAGAAAAATACTTGTATTCTAGTTAGAAATTTGTATTTCATAGGCCAATATGTAGATATGCTTACTGAATTTGTGCTATTTTCATTGTCTAAACTGAATTAAATATAAATTATACGACATTAGAAAATTTACAATATAAAAACAGGTTTATTCATTACATTTAGAAAGGTAAAATGTCAAGGAAGTAATGTTTATACATGTCTAAAAGGAATAGTGTACATACAAATTGCATGAATCAAAAACAAATACATAAAGTTGTGCAGAGAAAAACTATGAATGAATGAAAATATATATATATAGATAGGTATTTTACTACAAACATTTTGGAAAACTGCAAAAGTCATACTTAAGTTAGCATATATAATATAAAATGGTTTTAACTCGTGAAAGGGAGCATCACTACTGTACGTACAAGTGTATGAATACATAAAGAAAACTTTACAAAAATATTTCGGAGAAAAAACAATTTAAAACTGAAACATTTCTATACATTCAAATAGAATAAAAAATGCTTCTAAAATATTTGTTAAAATAAAAAAAAACTAATTATATACAGACACTTTTACCTTGTACACATATATAAAATCTTAGCTTTTGTGAAGAGTATCACTAGTGTGATAATCTTCAAAGTGTTTCATGCATAGAAATTCATCACAAGGTGTACACTTTGTTAGTACTTTATTTTCTGGGAGGCATAGTCTACATCTTTTTCTATCTCCTTTATTAACAAGTATAGAGAAATGCATGCCAAGAGTGAGTCTCAAAGGTGATGAGTCTGGCACAGTTCTTGAAAGTGGTATACCAGAAAGGCCTGGTCTATTTTGAAGTAGAGGCTCAACAAGATCTGTGATCAGGTCCATTCTGAAGGCCTTCTGGGATAATGATTAAATGTCTCGTTTGTCAGTCCACTTCACAGCTGTCAGAGTTCCACATTTAAACAATTGTGCATCCCCTCTCTGTGGGTTTGTAGAAACAAATTGTTGTGGGAAATACAGTCTGTCTTTCCTGCATGTGCCACAAGCATAGATTCCCATAGTCAGTAATTTGTCAAATAAATGAAGGGAAGTGTAAAAGTTTTCCATAAAAACCCAGTGTCCTAGTCTGTTGTGTTTGTCCGTCAGTTCCACCTATAGCTGGCATTTGTCCCTCCTTGCCTGTGTATATTGTAAACTTCAAAAAGTATCCACTCTTAACTTCTGCCAGGACCCACAACTTGATACCCCACTTGACAGGTTTCTTTGGTAAATACTGGAAAAAACAATTCTACATTTTGTCCCTAACATTTATTCATCTATAGTTAGTTCCTTGTTAGGAAAGTAGTGGGGAAACAAAAAAAAACGTTAGTAGGTGGCCTATGATAGGTCTTATCTTAAAACGTTTCTCATTTTTAGGGCCAATTCTAAGTAGAGCATTAGTATTGTTATTGAAATGTAAGTTAGTATGGATAGCTAAAAATTTGCCCCTAGAGAAGATAGAGAGCCAAGGAGTATGGAAAGGAACATAGGTAGACCAATAGTCAGGTAGAGAAGGATAAGACTTGAGTCTCATAGCTATTGTTAATTCAAAATATGCTAAAATATTTTCACAAGTCACATCAGTTCATTTTACTGTTTTTTTCTCCTCGAGGCCATTGTTGACTTCCCATGTTGCGACCACCAGCTGTCTGTGTTTTTGTTATTTTATGATAAACATTAACAAGTGTGGTCGTTGTTGATTGTGCAAACATGTTCAATGTTGACAACACTCAGCACTTGTCACTTTTAAATGACAGTGATAGTGTTTCTCATTAAATGTTATTGTTTTATTGCCTTTTGGACCATTATTTTGAAAATTTCCACCATAAAAAGTTTAAAAATATGCAGTGACATGAATCAAATGTTACACTAATCAAGTTACATAAAGCTCATGCTACTCATGAGCTGTTAGTCCTTGCGAGTGTACCTCATAGAAAAATGTTGTTATTATTATTATTATCATTATTTTTATTTTTATTACCTAATTTAACCTTATCTAACCTAGAATTTCCTAACTTTTCCATTTTCAATTACTTTTATAATAATAAATAAAGAATAGATAAGAAAAACAAGAAATATAGCACTCACCTGTGTAACCTTTTGTTTTGTCAACAACTGACCTATGTTAGCCCTAATACTTTCACCAAATCTACTAGTCCACAAAATAATTTTTTCTTTAAGTAAATAATGCATGGAAGAACACAGAATAATAATATGTCAACAGCTGAGAAATTTGGGTATCTGTCAGAACTTTTCTGGCTCTCTAATCACGTGACTTGAGCAGTTAGATATTCAATTTAGCTCCCCACTATGTTCTCATAGGAAAAAATTTCTTCTCATCAGCTAAATTGTCAATTTTCTGAAGCATCACGTGGCATGAATCATATTGAAACATCAGTAAGTTGGAATCTAGGCTTTCTATTG